TTGTAGATTTTTTAATGGTGGCCATTAAATGTGAGGTGGTACCTCATTGTAGTTTGATTTGCATTTCTCTAATAATTAGCAATGTTTTCAGCTTTTCACCACTGAGTATTATACTGGCTGTGGATTTGTCATAAATGGCTTTTATTATGTTGAGACATGTTCTCTCTCTACCAATTTTCATTAGAGTTTTTATCTGAATGGATGTGATTTATCAAAGGCAAATTTTTCTGTGTCTACTGAGATGATCATGTGGTTTCTATCCTTCCTTTTGTTGATGTGGTTGATCATTGATTGATCAGTGTATGCTGAGCCGTCCTTATGACCCTGGGATCAATCCAACTTGGTTATGGTTTTATGTGTTGTTGGATTTGGCTTCCTAATATTCTGTTGAGAACCTCTGTGTCTATAGTCATCAAAGATATTGCCCTGTAATTTTCTTTTTTGGTACTCTGTGTGGTTTTGGTATCAGGGTGATGGTTCCATAGAACATCTTTGGGAGTGTTCAAAAGGAACTGAACTTTTTATTAAACAGAAATTATACACTACTGAGATGATTTATATATAATGGGGGGCATCAGTTAGGATTTGATAAGTGAGCATTTTTGACATGGGGTAATTTTCCTATGGTAGTGTTTTGTAAAAAAAATTTGTGTGCTCATTTACATTCAGTGTGATAATCCATATTCCTCTAAAACCTCAAATGTAAAATAAATCTTCCATATGTATATATACCCATACTCTGAATAATGCTTAACTTTCCTAGTATTCTTCCATGTTAACATTTCACATAATAGATGGCAAGATTTAGTAGACTTCAGTATTTTTCTTTTTTAACTTTACTAAAGAATAATTGATTTACAATGTTGTGTTAATTTCTGCTATATAGCAAAGTGACTCAGTTATGCATGCAAATATATATATATATTCTTTCCCATTATGGCTTCTCACAGGATATTGAATATAGTTCCCTGACATCTAAGTATTCTTAAACAGTAAAACACATTACATTACCTCTCCTGAAATCAACTCTCAACAATTTCAACTTTTGACAACAGACACTAGATTAATATTAAAATATTACATGCTTCAAGCTCAAAAATTCCTTAAAATTACTAGCTATACGTAACACCAAAAACATTCTAAGGTCATATAAATTACCTAAATTATTACTGTCAGAATTTCTCTTCTTCTTTAATGTCTAAAGAAAATAAAGGATCTGAATTACTCAGCTACTTTTAAACACTTGCTATTGCTCAGTCTCATTTAATAGTACAGATTATAAGACTACCAGGTGCTGAAGACAAACAAATGATTCCACAAAATACATCCATGTTAATCAACAGAAATCCTCTTAATTACCTATAGACTTTCCAGGACAAAGCAAAAAGATGAAAATGAAAATACGTTCAAACTATAAACAAGTCCTCAAAGAATCTACTGTATTTAAAGAATATTTAGAGCATCTTCTCAGTACTAATTTGAAACGTGTGGATTGGAAAAGTCAATAATCAAACCATCCCAATGTTGCCATGTCCATCTGAGTTAATAAGGATAATCCAACAAATTAAGCAACAGCTCTTCCTTTTACATTGTTAAAGAATTTTGATTTTGAAGGTGCTTCAAATTTGCTAAAGTAATGCAATAATTTCAAAGAAAAAACTGTCATGAAGCTATTACTAAGTCATCTCCTCAAAGATGTTTGGCAACATGAGTAGAAATAAGTATTCCTACTGGGCACCCACTTTGAAGAATTACTTGAAATATATCTCTTAAATACTCTACGACCCAAGCAATTCCACTCTTAAGTATTAAGCCAAGAGAAATAAACACCCATGTCCACAAAAAGATGCACAAACTGTATACAATAGCTTTAGCCATAGTAGACAAAAATGGGAATAATTCAAATGTCTACCGATAGATGAATGGAAAAACTGTGGTATATTAGTACAATGGAATTTATTTAGCAATAAAAAAGAATAAGTTACAGATAAACATAACAAAAAGGCGAAATCTCAAAAATATTATGCTGATCAAAACAGAACAGATATAAAAAATGTATACTGTATGACTACATTTATATGAGGCTCAAGTACAGGCAAAACTAATCTTTGGTGGCAAATCAGAACAGTAACTGCATATGGGATATGGGTAATAACCGGAAGTGGGTACAAAGGAATTTTTTCGGATTATTAAAGAGTGAAGTTACACAAATGTAGGTGGCTCAGATGGTAAACAATCGCCTGCAATGCAGGAGGCCTGGGTTCGATCCCTGAGTTGGGAAGATCCCTGGGTCGGGAAGATCCCCTGGAGACAGGAATGGCTAATTCCAGGGACTGAGGAGTCTGGCAGGCTACAGTCCATGGGGTCACAAAGAATCAGACACAACTGAGCAACTAACACTTTCACTTCATGGGTACTAACTGGAAGAGGGTACAAAGGAACTTTCTCAGATTATGGAAGTGCTCTATATTTTGAAAGTGAGGGTTACACAAATAAGCAAATAAGGTAAAACCCAAACCAGAAAAATGCAAATATACTTAAGATTGTTATAGTTCTAGTAGTAAAAACAGAAAAAACTAGACTTAAGTCTATATCTGCCAATTAGTCAATCAGCAATTTGGAGTACCTGTGTATAATGAACCTGACATATAAAAAAACCACTGAATTAAGAGAATGCCAGCAGATAACCCCATTTTTTCCCATTTTTACTACATAAAACTTAATGATTTCTCTGAAGATAAGAAAAATAAACATTCATACTTATAGCAATACTGGGGAAAGCAAAGTTTTTCATCAATACCTGAACCCAGAGTAGGCTTTGCTATGATACAGAATTTGGTTAAGGCATGAAAAAAAAAGTAAGATTTCATTTCATAGTGTAATGTTGTATAGCAAGGTGAAACAGTATTTGCTGAAAGTTTCCAAACCTAGTCCTTCGTGCATGTTTCTGATAATATAGAACCCATTAATCTGCCAGACCCTGTGCTAAGTGAAACAGAAGGAAGGGGGGACAGGACGCAACCTTTAAAAGAATGACAGAAAAAGGACATGACAAAAACTGATTCGAACTAACTAGATCCAAGATGGTGGAAGATCTGGTTCCCTCCAGTTTCTGTTCTGTTATGTCCCTTTTTTGGCTAATTTTAACCTGTAGCTCTTCCTTGTAATAAACCTTGAATATAATAGTTTTCAGTGAGTTCTGTTGAGTCCTTTCTAGTGAATTATCAAATCTGAGGAGAGGAGCAGAGGGGGAGGTGTCCTTACAACTGGTATCTGAAGTGACAGCAGTCTTATAGGGACTGTTCTCTCAGACTCCACTCTGCTGAAACTCACTGCAACTCCAAAAAGGTTAAAAAAAAAAAAACCAATAGGTTAGAGTATGAGTTTCTTGAGAGCTGAAACTTCATTAATATGATATATAGTTTAAAAAAAACACACAATATTTGAAATAAATTGATACTCAGGATATTAATATTTTCTAACATTAACAGCAATAACATTAATGATGATGAAGATGAGGATAATAAAAACACCAACTATTTACTGCATGCCCTAACTAGAGTCTCCATTTATAGATGAATTTAGAGTGAAATGACTTGCTTAAGATCATACCACTAGTGACAAACAGTATATAAGTCCTGATTTAACTAATTTTAAAGCCCGTACAGCATCATATTGTATCTCATAAGACAAAGGAAATTTAATATATTTTGCAAAGGACAAACAAATATCCAGTAATACCATCACTAAAATAGTACCATTAAAGGTAAGTAACTATTTGTTAGCACTGGTCAGGAATGTAGAATACTTAAGTTCTCCAACCTTTAACTATGACTCAGTCATAAGCATTCTGATACTTACAACTTGTGTTTGAAATTATTAATAGAATATGAGCTACATAAGTTAAAAACAAATTTAAATCACTAATTTGTTACATATTACTAAGTAAATGTTAGTTGCTCAGTTGTGTCTGACTCATTGCAAGCCCATGGACTGTAGCCCACTAGGCTCCTCTGTCCATGGAATTCTTCAGGCAAGAATACTGGAGTGGGTAACCATTCCCTTCTCCAAGGGATCATCCCAACCCAGAAATCAAACCAGGATCTCCTGCACTGCAGGCAGATTCCTTACTATCTGAGCCACCAGGGAAGCCCAAATGCTAGATACAAATTCCAAATACCTAAGGTAGATAAATGACACTTCTTCTACCAAAAAAATCACCATGTATCATACCCTAATCTGTAAAGAATGGGCATCGAGCTCTGTCTTACATATTCCTCTACAAGTTTTCCTCTTTCCTTCTATAGTTTTCTCTCACATCCTGGAACTGTCCTAGTGGCCTCTAAGAAAGGCCAAAGGGAACTAGGATCTGATGGTCCAAGCAAGACCAGCTGGACTGTCTCAAGCCAAACACTATACTCAAAGGTCATGAAGGCCTTTCCACCTTGAAACTAGACCTATTAATCAAGATATAAATAAACACAGCTCTTATATATGCAAAATATACACATATATATACATAAACATAAACATACACCCACACATAAATAATAGTATAGTAACCAGGAGAGACACTGAATTGAGCACTTTATGTTTTTAGTAATCGTAAGAAAAACATAAGAAAGTGCCCAGGCAAGTGGCTGTAAATAATTGATTATATTAATTGGTTTTATGTAGGTCCAGAGCAAACATTACATATTGAATGCTATTTATTGAGATTACTTTAAAACTCACTAACATACTTCTACTAAATATGAAAACCAACAAGTCAGGTTGTGCTCTGTCAATTTTGGCAAACCAATCATAACAAATATATCTCAAGAGTGGATCAGTCTGGATTTACATTAAAAATTAAAGGAGAACTGAGTGATGTGAAATACAGGCAATATGAAGGAGAAAAGCGAAGTTGAGTAAAGGATGGGAAAGAAGGAGAGACACACTAATGAATTAACACACACATACTAATGCCCACAAATAACCCACAGAGACAGAGAAAGTACCTGGAAAGCTGTGAGTGCGCCAGTCCCTGGGTTATACAGGCATCGCAGCGAAGGCATGCTGTCCGCCAGGCTGGAGCAGCCCAGCCACAGAGACCTGGGCATAGAGCACTGCAGAGAGAGGACAACTATGAGATGGGACAGCATGAGACAGGATGGCACAGATTGCAGGACTTCTCAGAGCTGGGCTAAATACAATACTCCAGTTGCAGCTTGCCTTTATGACAGAAACATATTCAAGAAACATACTATGTACTAGTTCTAACCCCAGACGGAAGCTCAAAAGGAGCACTAGTGCCCAAAAAAGGAAGAAAAAAAAAGTTATAGGTCAAAAAGCAAAATATTTAATAAAAAATTTTATTCCTGTTCTGTGTATGAAACTAAAGGAAATCTACTTCTTAATCCAGTCAATTCTTTTCCTCTACGCACCTCAACTCATCTCCCATAAACTCACCACAAAAGTGAAATATTGCGCAGACTAAGCAGAAAAAAGAAATCATTCATAGTAGCATTTCAACAGTAGAAATGGTAAATTAGAAAACATAATATCACAAGAAAGTTAAAAGAATTTCAAGAAGGTGGGAAGAAGAAAAGGTATTATACCCCTACAGTTTGACAACAACTAACACCGCACAATTTGCATACTCTTTATTTATCTTGTTAGTCTGCTATTCATTAACCAAAATGCATAAGTTACCATAGCAGCTGCCTCTTTATCTTTCCAGATGGATTTAGGGGGATGGGGGGGATGGGAGGGATGGCGGGAGGAGGCAAGAAACAATCCAAACAGAAGGGAAAACAACAACAAAGCAAGGAGAGACAGGGACAGAAAAAGAGGACCCTAAAAAGCTGCTGGTCCTAAAACCTTGTAAATAAATAAACAAATAATGTGTAAGTGTAAATATACATACAGTGTATTCAATAGCAAACAAAAAAAAGGTAGAAATTATGAGTGCTAGTAGTACTAATTAAACAGTATTAGTGGTACTGCTCCTGTACCTTATAAAACACTGTATCTTTTAAAAGAATTTTTACAATCTTTAGATTTCCCTAAATGTATCCCAGGCTGAATCTTTGTCCATCAACTTGGGTGCTATTATAGTCTAGTAATACTAAAAAACTAAATACCTGATCACAGCACATATAAAAACAGAAAAACATTTTAAAGCACAACAGTCAGTGCACATAATACTAAACTTTAAATTATAAGTCTTGACCTATTTATTATCATCATGGGACTTTTTTCTTCTTAAAACACTTTAATTGGGGAAATATTAAGGAAACAAAATATGGTATTCATTGTTCACTATCTATAACTGATACAAGGATGGTATACTGGAAAGGACTTCAAAAACTGGTTTAGACTCCAGCTTTCAGATCATTATTTTCTTATTTTTTAGTTCACGTGATTGATGCCCAGGAGAAATTAAGTATTTAGCCATGATCATAGAATTTAGAAAGTAAAGAAGTAAGAACTAGAATCCTGGCCTACTGCTTTTCAGTTCAGAACTCTTCCTCTTGCCTCTATCCACCCTAGGTCATAAAGTGGAGGCATCAAGACTTCAAAAACAGGTATCTACTAAAGGCATCACTGTATAACTTAACAACCCAAACAGCTAAACTGCTTTGAACTACTACAAAAATCACCTAACTTTTCTGTTTCCAATGTTTCTTCACCTCAAACTACAATCCATTTTACAAACAGCAGCTAAACAGAATTGTCTTCACTTTGTGATCGTGTCACTCTCGTCAGTAATTCACAAGGCTCCCTAAAAATTCAAGCACTCTATTAATCTGACCTTTCCCCACTGCCTACATCAACTCATCCTCTCTGTCCTTCCACAGTTGGCCCTGGAACTCTAATGAATTACCTTGATATTTTGTTCAAATATACATCTTATCCCCATACTTTTGAACTTGTAACTTCCTTCTTCCTTTCACCCTGACCATGCACATGCATACTTGCATCTACCATTTACTAATTTGTCTCCTAAGAATTTTGGGGCTTTCCAGGTAGCACTAGTGGTAAAGAATCCACCTGCCAATGCAGGAGATGCAAGAGACTCAGTTTGATCCCTGGGTCGGGAAGATCCCCTTGAGTAGGAAATGGTAACTTGCTCCAGTAATCTTGCCTGGAAATTTTTATGGACAGAAGAGCCTGGCAGGCTACAGTCCATGGGACTGCAAAGAGTCAGGCATGACTGAGCATGAGCTCCTAAGAATTACTTAATTTCAGTCTCATCCAGTGGTTCTCAGTAGCAGATATTCTCATTCTGTGAGAAGGCAGCACGGAGAAAAGAACAAGGGAAAGCAGGATTTTAAAAAAAAGTTTCTTTCCACTTGAGAACCACTGTTCTATTCATAGTATGACTCTATACTGCAAGCACCAAATTCTTAGCCAAAATAATTTTTGTTAAGAAGAAAGATGACATTAAAAGTTTCTAAATCTAATATTTTGGTCATTTATCTGACAAGTACTTGTTGAGAATGTTCCTAGTGCTGGGCACTGTCCTAGGCACTAGGGATAGAACAATGAACAAAAGAAACAAAAATCCTTTATAGTCTGGTGATAAGTCTCTCAATCATAAACTCTTCTATATTTAAAATCTTTAATGGAAAAGAAATTCATTGGTAGTGACTTTCTCTCATTGTTAATGAGACAACCTATATTATTAATCAAGTGGTTAAAAGTTCTGTGTATCCTGGGTAGAACAATGTTCATGCTGAAGGGACTGAATTTGAGAAAAGAGAGAAATAAAGTGAAAATTTTTAAAAGGCAAAATGAAAACAGTGAAAGAAAATGGAGTAGGCACTGAAAAATAGCCTGTCACTTTTCGGACTTCTCTTCAGAAGAAGTAGATGGCTCATATACTTTTGGCAAAAACTAAGTGCATGATCTCCACTTTTAAGTTAAAATATACATTTTTATTTATATTTATGACTGCTCCCTGATAAATTCTTAAGGCATTCCTCTTTTGAATGTTTTGTCTCCTTCTTTTTATATTAGGCTCTGCGTTATTTTTGCAGTATGTACTTGGTTAATCATTATCCAACTGTCCTTTCTACTACTCATTCTAACGCCCTTCTCCTCATTCATTCACCCCTATCGTCCATCAGAACTCCTAAAAACTAACAATCTGAAAGGGCTTTACCCCACCTCCCTAATATAAAATTCCCAAATAAAACTATAATCAATAATAAGCCACATACACCCAGGAAAGTCACTAGATATACTGGTGTGATTTCTAAAATAGCATTAAATTGCAAACACCACACAGAGGATGCATTCCCGATTATTACAAGACAATTGGTGTGGGTATGATAACCACACTTGAATATAGTCTGATCTGCACATTACCGTAAGATTTTATATATTATAGCTCAATTTAAAAACCAATTTTCAAATTGGTTTGTATTGTAACAATTAATCTTACCCATACTGGTAAATGCCACTTTAAAACACTGAGGAAAAAAGATATAATTACAAAATTAATGGAATAGGCTATAATTTCTAACTCTACCTCTTTCCCTTCTATCTTCACATTTAGCAGCATTTTCTAAATGAAAAAGGAAATCAAAAGAAATTTAGGCAATAAGCAACAGAGTGGAAAAGGGTGCCACTGTGGTTACTCTTCTTTATGTAGTCTAAACATTTCTAAACATTTCAATTGACCAACATCCTGATTGGTCAATTTTCTGACAAAAATGTATGACTTTCTCTGTCCTTCAACAATGAATAAATAATCCTCCTTAAAATGCCCCAAACTCACATAAGTTTTCTACTTAAAGTTGAGGCAGTAAAAGTTTGTTTCTCCTTGCAAACTACATGGAAATTCCTAAGACTTTCCTTCTACACTTAAAACAATTTTTTAATAAAAGTAGGTTCCAAACTAAACTGCAATCCAGCAACTACATTCTCACTTTTATTTTTTTTTATTTATTTATTTTTTATTTTTTTTTCATTTATTTTTATTAGTTGGAGGCTAATTACATCATTGCAGTGGTTTTTGTCGTACATTGAAATGAATTAGCCATGGATTTACATGTATTCCCCATCCCGGTCCCCCCTCCCACCTCCCTCTCCACCCAATCCCTCTGGGTCTTCCCAGTGCACCAGGCCCGAGCACTTGTCTCATGCACCCAACCTGGGCTGGTGATCTGTTTCACCCTAGATAATATACGTGTTTCGATGCTGTTCTCTTGAAACATCCCACCCTCGCCTTCTCCCAGAGTCCACAAGTCTGTTCTATACATCGGAGTCTCTTTTTCTGTTTTGCATATAGGGTTATCGTTACCATCTTTCTAAATTCCATATATATGTGTTAGTATACTGTAATGGTCTTTATCTTTCTGGCTTACTTTGCTCTGTATAATGGGCTCCAGTTTCATCCATCTCATTAGAACTGATTCAAATGAATTCTTTTTAATGGCTGAGTAATATTCCATGGTGTATATGTACCACAGCTTCCTCATCCATTCGTCTGCTGATGGGCATCTAGGTTGCTTCCATGTCCTGGCTATTATAAACAGTGCTGCGATGAACATTGGGGTACACGTGTCTCTTTCAGATCTGGTTTCCTCAGTGTGTATGCCCAAAAGTGGGATTGCTGGGTCATATGGCAGTTCTATTTCCAGCTTTTTAAGAAACCTCCACACTGTTTTCCATAGTGGCTGTACTAATTTGCATTCCCACCAACAGTGTAAGAGGGTTCCCTTTTCTCCACACCCTCTCCAGCATTTATTGCTTGTAGACTTATATTCTCACTTTTAAATATTTAACTTCCATTATCTGTTAAAGAACTTGTGAATGACCCATTCCTTAAGTATTTCTCCTTTGCAATCTCAAAAGCTACAATGAAGTTTGGATCACACATGTGCCGCCCCCTAACACAAATCTAGCCCGACACAGCACAGACTTATTTCTTCAGCTCACTTTCTACTTAACCTCACCCCAAATGGCTCTCCACTGCAACCCTAAAAATAAGGTTGAAAACTACAATAATTTATTACAACTGAAGTTTGTTACTCAACTGAATGAGTTTACCAGCTTTTAAAAAACATACACAGCATTTTTTTAAATGCCTAAAACATGTTTTCTACTACTTGAAACA